GTTTATCATGACCTGTGTCTAAATGTAAATACAGCATGGTTTGTAATTAAAGTAATAGTTTATTTCATATTTTCGCTAATTTCTATTTCGTGCGATTAAAATTTCGTTGGGATTATATTTCATGGTTTTCTTTAAACCACGAAATAAACGAAATTAAATCCCCAACGAAATATTATGCTTTTACAGTAATCTGTATTTAACGTTGAAATAGTGTCTCATAGGTCAACTTGGCCGGATAATTAATTCTATCAATTTTGTTTCAACTAGAAACTTTAAATTGTGAATGGATATGTGACTCTTTAATAAAATAAATTATTATTATAAGGGTTAATATATATCACAAGACATCCAATCGACATTAGCCTATAATTGGATGACAACACGTAATCACCTTTTGTCATGCTGTGTACACAAACGCCAATCATGTCGTCGTTGAACAGCACTACTACGTGACCAGTTTCTGTGCAGGATTATATATATTGCAAAGTTACTGTACCGTTACAGTCCAAATATACGGAAATGTATCAGTGAAAAATGTTAACAAATAACTTCAACGTTGGTGTCTTCTGTGTTTGAGTGTCAAAAAAACGTATAGCATATTTTCGGTATTACCGTTTAATGACAAATTGACTACACTGTGTCGTCCTTATGTTAGGTCGACAATTCAAATAAACAACAAAATACCGACAGTTACACATTGAATATCATTATACAATACAGTACTTATTGATGCGATGCTAAGTTATATCGAGGACTTAGATAATCTGAGTCCGTGATTATATTTATCTCGAAAATATAATTGAATTATGAAGGTTAAACTTTTTCTCTCCATATACATGTAATATACACAAGTTATAATTTAACATCTTGGTTCAATAATGTAAAGCAACTCGATCCACTCCTTTAGCCGGCTTAGTTTTAAAATTTGGGTACAGGTACATCACACTAAACACACCGTGTCCAGTGCTTGATTGATAGGTTTTGCGTCCGCTTCACTACCGAGTAGTTTGGATAATCACAGGTAAAATATACAGGTGTGAAACCACGTGATTATGTGGCTTTTCAAAGCAATAAACTGAATTGAATTGGATTACCAGGTACAGTTTTCTTACCTGTGGGTCTTACCTGGGAATCTCCAATTAACTCATTACAGCATAATTATGACAGTGGTAATACAGAACTTGTGTGGTGTTTGATCACACCTCTAACCCCCTTAGAGCACAGGTCTGTTATTTCAACCGGCAGGTGTGATATGCTTGAATCTACCTGAAACTATGCTTTACCTGTGACTACATGTGCCATTGTAATTATCCATGTATACAGCTAATAATGTTTAAATATCATATCAGCATGGTAATAATGTAATGTGATCGCACTGCCAAAGTATTATAAAACATTTCTAATTTACATTTATATCATGGCAGCACCCCTACCTCTACAAAATTATAGAAACAACCTATATACTGAAAATATTCCGTTATCATAATTCTAATCAAAGACGAATAAAACCAGTATATACGTACGTATCCGCTATAATTTTGTTTATGATACATTGTATCTTATTAAACATTATTAATTCAATTCAGGTTATTGCATTGGATATCCACATAATCACGTGGTTTTCACACCTGTACATCTTACCAGTGATTGACCGAACTACTCGGTAGTGAAGCGGACGCAAAACCTATCAATCAAGCACTGGACACAGGTGTGTTTAGTATTTTGTACCTGTCGCAAATTTCACACCTAAGCCGGCTCAAGGAGTGGATCGAGATGCTTTTCATTATTGAACAAAGATGTTTAATTATATCTAAGTCCGTGGCATTACACATCAATAAGTACTGTATTGAATAATATCAAATGTGTAACTGTCGGTATTTTGTTGTTTATTTGAATTTTCGACCTAACATAAGGACGACACAGTGTCGTCGATTTGTCATTAAACGGTAATACCGAAAATATGCTATACGTTTTATTGACATTCAAACACAGAAGACACCAACGTTGAAGTTATTTTGTAAATATTTTTACTGATACATTTCCGTATATTTGGACCGTAGCGGTACAGTAACTTTGCAATATATATAATCCGGCACAGAAACAGATCACGTAGTAGTGCTGTTCAACGACGACATGACTGGCGGTTGTGTACACAGCATGCACCAGAGTGTGACGAGAATTACGGCCCGTGATATTCTTGTCAATCAAACAACAGCGGAGCATCGACAAGAACATCAACCAATCATCGCGAGGGCCCACCTCTCTACCGCGCGTGATTGACAGGTATATCAACCAATGAAACGGTGCCATTTTCGTGTAAGATCAGTGCACAGAACTTATCTTAACACCTACTGTATATCAATTACATCATTCACACGGCAATATATTTTATCTATATATGTATATGATAATGATTACTAATACTACTGGAACTATGAGTAAAATGTACTGATACCTAACATATTACGTTAATACAGAGAAGGTCTCTGGTTATGATATAAAGGAAACCAAAACAAAATACCTTTAGTTTATATATTATTCTGATTGTCATGGTTGACCTGAAGCGGAAACGTATATACTACTTACGGCTTTATATGTCTCTGTCTGAAGACAGGTAATACAATATTCAATATTAATTCTGATAATTCATATATTTAACAACCGGATCACGCTTAGCCTTTTATATAAGAAGTTTCATAGGTTCTAAATTTTAGTAATCACAGGTTCGTTAGACGAGAGCAACTGTTTAGACTATACACCAAAGTCGTATATATTGTAATATAACGTCTCTGGTTAAGAATAATGCTCTATTTTTTTTCTCTCTTTACTTTATACAGTTTTGATAACTGACATACGGATGCACATTATCTTTCTGAAATGGTTAAGTTCGCTTTAAATGAATAAAGAAACAAGATATTTCGAAAATTTCGTTCACTTTAAACACATAAGTGTACGTAACTTAAATGGTATTTTTTCTAATGAAAGCCTTTGTGGAGATCATTGTCATTATCACTCGAAGTTTCAACAACCCGGGAGCTTACATTGCTGTTTTAGGAAGTTAACAGGAGTACCTCGGATACCAGATGTGTAACTCATTAGTGTATTCATGCAAAAGATACATTGTTGAAATGTAAATATACATTGTTGAAATTCATACATTCCGATGACGTCACGTTGTTGACTGACAGGACGGCTGGATTGTGTGTTCATTTACATACGTTTACTTTGATGACATAAATGGACGCGTTTTATGTAAAGAAAAAGGCTATAAATATAAGGATTAACTTTCTATTCAATTTAGGTTATCGGGTGATAACTACAATGGAACCCGGGTAAATTATTTTTTCTTTATCACCCGATAACCTAAACTAAATAGAAAGTTCAACCTTAAATATTATAACATGAAACATTAAATCAGAAGGGATATTCTTACGACAGTACAGGAAAGATAAAGTTCCATTTAATTGAAATTATATCAGTAATGATTAAAAAAACACCAAAATATGAATAAAATACATTTATGTTAAATACAATAGAAATTAAAAGCTGAGAGGACAGGTGATCGGGAATCTCCTTACTAAGAGGATTATATAAATCACAAAACTATTAACAACATAAAAAACGATTGAAAGGTATATGAAGCAAAATAGGAACGTAAACTGTCTTAACATATATATATATATACAGTGGTTCGTTTATGAACATTTACCTCGGACCGAACGGAGCCGGGGGATATAGTTTACGTAATATAAGTTGTATACGACATCGGGACGTACTTATCATTCGTCATTAAATATCGTTAATATTGAGAGTTCATATTGTGTCTTTGATTATTATATGAGTGATCAGAGACGTATATACTGGCTTCATGTGTCCCTGGAGTGATGTATCAAAGCACCAGTTCAGCAATACGGTAAAAGTTATGCATTATTCTCAAATGGTCGTTCATTTCGATCCTAACCCTGGCCGTAGTACAAAATAAGCATTATTTCCTTGGTCTTTATTTATTTCATTCGAAGTAAATATAAGTGTACTATCGACCTGTGTTATTATATCGTTTTGATTACGGAATTAGAGCAACCGTCGTTGCATAGCTATACCGACAACACGGCCAGCAAGGCAGGGACTATAGACTGCCTCACCTGTACGGGCTTCGCCGGAGCGCGGCTACATCAAAGGGAATACCGCTGTGCGAGTGAGCGGGACAACGACTTAATTTTCGGGGGCCAACGACCAGTTTTCGGGAACAAAGGCACAATCTTATTGAATTGTTATGTTCCTGAAAATTGGTTGTTGTCCCTGAAAATTGGTTGTTGTTCCTGAAAACTGGTCCATGTCCCGATAACTTGGATATGGTTTTTAAATTTAAATGGTGCTCCGCTAATTTGGAGAGTGTTTCCGTAATTTGGGCCATGCAAATATGATTTAGATTGTACATCATTAAGTTAGCCATGCATAGATTATTTAGCTGGTACGTCATTAAGTTGGGTCATGAATTTATGATTTAGATTGTGTTTTGTAAAATTCAATGCTAATTGAAGTTTACTGGTATAATAAGGTAGATTAAGTCGTAGAATTGATTTTTTCGTCCTTAAGTGTTTCTCAGTGCGGATGTTCTCCTTTATCTGATGCACAGGGAGGATAAACCAAACTTATCTGGTTCCCCCGTTGCATCCTTAACGTGCAACCCCTGTGGAATATCCCCTCGCAATTCAATGTAAGCACTCTTCTAGCAACTTTATTCTTTGACAGAATTTGATCAAACTTTTGAAAAATGTGAAACATGAGAATACTTCTGGTGTATATGTGTGTAAAGGTACCAATGTCACTCTTGTATCTAGAAGTCATTAACTGATTCAACTTCCTCACTTTACTTCATTTCTCAACATGCTTTGATGTTGATGTTAAACCCCGATTAAAAGCATTGCTCATTGAAATGTCAAATTAAGATAAAAAAAAAAGGCATACATGACGACATCAGTTAGACTTTTTCAACTTACGTGAAGTTCAGGCTGCTCGCCATATGTTCTAGAAGGTCAAAACACAGACCGGTGTAGGTGTTGTTTGGCAAAGCAACAACGAACGGCGCCCACTAAAATATATTCATTATTGTTAATTATCATATAAACATGAATTGACTTTGTAAAACGGAACAAAATAGTCATACTGTGCTGTTATATTATTGTCTCGGTAAATTAATTGCCATCATTCACAAATCAAAATGTTGATTATTCTGCTGCTGGAAAACCAAATCATTGGATTGAATGACAAGGTTGCAATATTGACTAAGTCAAGATAGTTATGAAACAATAAAGTTGTTGATGTTCATCACAAGCTCACAATGGCCCTATAAGCCACGGGATCTAATGCCACATTCATGGTCACTCAAAATGTCTCAAACAAAACCTGAACAACTTCTTCTGAATAAACAAAAAAGCACCAGGTGATAATATTTGGCTAGTAGAATGTCGGGATGAACGGCTACTAAGTTTGTTCAAATGATTGACCTTCACCCAATTTCAAGGTCACCGGTGTCAATTGTCTAAACTAATCTTTAAACAACTTCTTCTAAATAACCAAATGCCTAGAGTAATATTTGGCTAGTAACATGGAAGTCTGTCATGTTTGTTCAAATGAATGAGCTTCACCCATAATCGAGGTCACAGGGATAAAGAATTTTAAAATACCTAAGCAACTTTGTCGGAATAACCAAAAGGCCGTAAATGATATATTGTATAGGGTGTAACGTCGTATCAGCAGCTAAGGTCATTTAAGCACGTGTCTCCATGTGTGGTGTGTGCAAGCAATAATCGTCCAGATGTTTATCGTTTGCACATGGTACGAACAGTGCACATTTTAAAACGTAGTGCGGTCCGACCGGAAACTGTCTTTAACTGAAAAACCATGCCGAAGGTATCAGCAGTATTCCACCCTAACACATACTATTGACAACGGGTAAACCAGTTGTGAATGCACCAACCAAAGCATTCCACCAAGTCAGTTAATACCGACAACGGGTAAACCAGTTGCTGCTATTATCCTAAATGCGAAACATTTAGCAGGGAACTACCATTATTAATGCCTTTGATGTACCTTGGACTAGGAACGGAAACTATTTCCCTTTCAACGTTCAACACCAAAGCAAAACGGTAGGTGGACGTAGAAATAAATATAAAGAGTATAAAGAGACAAAGGGTGGCAGTGGGTGCAGCAGAACTATTACGGTTTCTTTGATGTTCTTAAAGGCGCTATTTAGTAAAACAACACTATTAAGATCGATCAGATACTGAAAATAAAGATCTCCTAACGATAGCCTTCGTAGTTTATAATAACAAGACATGAAACAAACGTCAAGTGTTGTCAGATTTATCTTTTAGTAAAGTCGATGATAAAAATAGCTACGACTGAAATAGCGCAAAATCCGGGCCTTTCAGCTAGAAGTAAACATTGCACAGTGCCGCGTTGTCGACCGACAGTAAATCTGATTTCTCACATAATACATGCGTGTCACCTTGAATTTACACAAAACATCGCAAGCAAGAATTACAAGTATCATAATGTATAAAGCTTTTGAGATATTTCTGTTCACAGTTGTATAGTAATAAATTACTCGTCTATAACGATGATTGAGATGTTGTTTGGATAATGAAATTTATTAAAAAAAAATGCCGGCACTTGTATTCTGAAGGGGTTGGGTGAACAAAGCGAGAATTAACCTTCTCTCCACGGCTGGAAAGACACATTTCACCGTTACTTACTACTAACACGTACGGTTGCACAGTTAAGGAATTCTTCATTACTGGACAGGAACGACAGGAAAACATCATTGTCTCTTGTCAACTTTTCGACGTGTATTATTCATAAGGAGTATCAAACTATTGTTTTTATGAAATTTTGTAACTAGATTATAAAACAAATTAGTTCACTAAATTGTCCTTTCAGTAGAAGACACAAAAGCAATTCAATGAAACAAGCGTGATGTTGACGAGATCAATACAAAGTTTGCTCGAAATCTATAATTGATACTGATTTCTCAAGAGCATTATCATTAACCATAGGAAGTAGCTCATTACCGATATTTGTTTATCAAACGTCGTGCAATTCATACAAGCTTCAGTTATCTAGTCACTAACGAGGGCAAATATATACCTTGCAGGAACTTATTTGATATCATTGGCTTTGATAATACCATGTCATGGAGGCATGTCCTTAAACGACCTATTCAAAGGACGGTTAACCCTATAAAACCAATCCAAATCAATCATCGCTTTCAAAGGATGCAATTAAAGTAATATTAAGTATTTGCGTATGGTACAGAAATGGAGTCTGGGCATGAACGTAGCATGGGAATCACATTCGCTGATATTTTCGAAAAAAAGATCAGTCAAACTCGATTTGATGAACACGAAATTATGTCAAACCGGTAAAAACAAACCAGAAACACGAAATTATGTCAAACAGGTAAACACAAACCAGAAACACGAAATTATGTCAAACAGGTAAAAACAAACCAGACTTGAAAAGTATTAGTGGCCAGATGAAGATCAATCCACTTGTACCTTTATAAGTGATTTTCCCTTGTTCAATTATAGAATATGAACAGCGGTGTATATTTACATATGATTGCCAGTTATCTTATCCTTTCCTGACTTATATTTCTATTTTTGATACAACACCTCTTGAGCCTGTCTTAGTATCACCTCACTTTTGGTTGTTTCATTTGATGTATTGGGCTCAGCGTCCTATGAACAGCTACATGTAAGAATATATCATTACGGACTTTTGAGGACTTACCTCTAGTGTGGCAACCGTGAATTTACGGCCATTGAAGCCAAAACCCATATTTGGGAAGACCTCGGAATGAAAAGATGTCTGTCCCTCCATGGCAACATACCCCACATTACTCCAGCTACGCCCTTTATCTGTGAAAACCAGGGTTTGAACCGATGACCAGTGACAACGTTCCAGTAGCTGTAAAAGCAAACATTATTTTTTTATTCTTTTACCACAGCCGAGACTCATTCATTCAGCAAACACTTTTTTCGTTAGTCTGTCGAGGCATTTGAGGACCGTCTATAATTGTATTCTCCACTTTTCGAGAAAAATCGGTGGATATTAATTTGGGCCTGTCCGTCCGTCCCTTCAATTTCTGTTAGTTACTCCGATATATTTTGATTGGTTAATTGGTTCCGTGCAATAACTACGCTAATACTGGTCCTATTTCAACAACATTTGGTGTGCACATACATATTACCATGTTTAAGACTAAACTCACTCGTCAATATGATCCGTGCATATGTATGGAAAATTAATTAGTAAATTATAAGTAAGGTATACAAAAACTCCAACAATTAATTGTAACCTTGTCTTGTAGTCAATGATTGCAAAATATTGTAATACATATAATTTTTATGGTGTTCAACATTTTAAGTTTGCTGATGATTGGAAATATGGGCAAGGGAAGCACCCTCTATACAGGATATAACTTTTCAAAGGGAGATCACTCTTGTAACAGATCCATTTCGTATTGAATTTTTTTTTTCATTGACCCTTAACTTCTCTCCTGTAATTGATTTCTGTATATCAAATAGATGAGGACAAATAACTGCTTTTGTCTTATTCCCAAACTAGCGAAGCTCAGGATATCAATCAGTCAAATATATGTATGGTTTCTAATGAAATTGCTGTATTCTAGAAATTCTTCAATGAAAAGCTTCTATAGTAGCATGAGTGACCAATGCAATTTGGCTTATACTTTAACCCCTAGAACTATTCTAGGCTGTTACATTTCATACCATAGCTAATTTTGACCCACTTGCTATTTTAAAACAAACTGAAGGCCTATTTCTAAGTCACATTGTCTGATATTAATGCTCCCAACTAGCATATCACGTTTCAAGTAGCGCTCAACAATAACATTTAATCCAAAACAAGTCTTAAAGCGGGGAACATGAATCCCACGAGTTCGCTTGGTCTATCATAACTATCGCAGCCATTCCACTACTAAACTGTTCTCCCTCCTTTAGCACATTGGCTTTACCATCACAATAACAGCTCTGGTTATTTCAGGACGTGCCTTCATGTGTGCAAATTTTGCGTGAATGCTACAGGCCGTTTGCAAGTGTAGATGCTTACTTGCGCAAGTGTGGATCTTGTGTGTATGTTTTTTAGTGGATAAACGTGTGTGTTTGTTTAGAGTTTGATTTAATATACTCGCAACAACGAGGACGGGTGATAAGGAAAACACCGCTCGAATGAGATAGTAGATGGGACAGAAAACAAGATAGAAAAGAGATAGAAAATGAAGAAAAGATGTAAAGTGTTGCAATGAGGGCAGCAGATAAGTTTTGTTCTCTTCCATCTTTTCTTAGTAAAAAAACATGGACGAACACACCAGATTCTGCAGCAGAAGGGGTCTGCTACTATCATGCAGTGAGAAACAGCAATCCTATACTCTATCCGAACCTGAATTATCGGTGTTCCGAACGTAGTGCTTCCTTCCGGAAGAAAATCATGCCGAAGGCATCCAGCGTATTATTCCACACTTTACTAGGAAGGAAGTTGGTTGGCAAAATCTGGCTGTGGTTACGTGTTGGAATAGCCGTGGGAAATATCATCGTTCCAATTCATTTATATAGTTTTTGGCTTAAATGGTGAGCGTTCGCCCAAGAGAGGTAGGTAATGGTTCTATACTCAGGCCGGGACATACAAATATACCATAGTCCTTATTCCCTGCTTAACATTCAGTATTAAGGGTAATGGCAACAACTGTATCACCCGTTGTCAGTACAATGTGACCGGGCGAAACACTGTGCTGGGTGCTTTTGGTATGGCACTGTCATAGCCTGAGTCTAGGTATATACTGAGATAGCACTGTCCAAGTTATCATAAAGAGGCAAATACACTGATATACTCAGCCTCTAGCACACATACACACATGCATGCATTTATAATACACATGGAGGCACGTCCTCAAACGACCCTAGCTGTTGATAAGACGTGAAACCCTATATATCACCAAACCAAACCAATTCATTTATATATTAGGCCATTATTATTTTACATTTTATCAAAAGCAATATGTATATGTATCGGAATGTTTGTTAACAGTTTAATTAAAGATACCAATTTTTGAACAGTTTTATGTTGCATTAAATGAAATGTTAAAAACAAAGACTTGCCGATTGTAGACGTCCAATAAAATTGTTGGTGAAGTCCAATTTGTTGATAGATGTTGTAGAAGAATTAGAACCAATGGCATATAGTGTTTTTCGCATGAGTTGAAGTATGTCTATCCCCTGTAAAGTTAAATATACATGTAATGGACATTTTTACGTGTACGTGATTTATTTCTCAAATTATCTTTAACTAAAATTGTCTTCACTTTAACGTTATGTTACAGAAACGAAGAATACTCCCTTTTATCTAGCTCACACATTCATCAGTTTTCTTAAAAAAATAAAGAAGACAGACAGAGATTATATTTGTAAAAAATTTAAAACAGGAGACAAACAGTTAGTTTCCAACATTAAGCTATTCCTTGTAATAATTAACATGTTGTATAGTCTTAATATGATCTTAACTAAATGATGAACGTTAAACGCTAAATAAACAAATGAAGACACACCGAAATGAAATGAGTACGAGAAGTGCAAAAATCCCTAAATTATTTTTGTGACCCAATTAAAGTTTCCTTGTAGGGAGTTGTAGTGTAGCACAGCAGGTCTCTTCTTACCCTGAAACTGCACGGGTCATGCTTATGTTGTATACAAATATAAAATGATATCTTACCCGATCGCTGTTCACGGCATCCGTTAAAAATGTCGGGAGGATAATGACTGCAACGTTGTCAATATCCACCGTGTAATTCTGTATCTCGTCCAAGTCTTCGTCTTCATCTAGTCGAAACACCAACCACAGGGAGCGAAGACTCAAGGACGATCGTCTGTTGTTCTCATGGACGTACTGCCCTGCCTGGGAACGTGAGTTTGATGGAACAAAAACAAAACCTCGAGCATATGCGTATATATGTTGGAGAAAGAGAGTGTCGGGAAAACAATATGGATAACACGAGACCTGTTGGTATCGACTGGACCTGTTTTTACCGTTATGTTAATATTGATTTGTTGAGATTCCCAAACATGAAATAAGAGCTTCCAGAGAAAAGAAAAGTCAGACCCCAAGTGTTGCAAAGGTGGCAGCAGATCAACTATGCCCTCTTCAATGTCCTCTGAAAAGAAGACAGAAGAGAAACGCCTATTTTGCAAGAGACTCCACATAAAATGCCTCTTACGACAAGCAATGGGATACAGAAGGCCTTATGAATTTCCCCCCGAACCTGCAGAGGTTGTTATGTTGATTGTATCATGTGTGTAAGAGCATGGTTTGGTTTAGCTTGGTTTAGTATTGTTTAACGTCCTATCAACAGCTATGGTCATTTAAGGACGGCCTCCCCTGTGTGCAAGATGCATGCGAGTAGTGTATGCGTGTGTGTTTTAGGAGGTTGCGATATATTCGTGTTTGTCTCCTTGTGATTGCGCGGAACTGATGCCGACTTTATAGTGCTACCTCACTGAAACATACTGCCGAAGACACCCAGCAGAACATCCCACCCGGTCACATTATACTGATTAAGAGTATCATGGAATGTTTGATAGTAATGCAAAGAGTGTCATTAGATTGTTATGATAACGATATTGAGTTAAGTACAAAGCTGTGATCAACACTTACTACTGATAGAATATTGTCGGCACACTTTTTGTAGGCGATGATGGTTATATTGACGTTGGAATCTTTGTTCCTGGCATCTATGTTTTGCAGCAAGTTAAATATCTGCTGCTTGCTCATGGTGTCAACCTCGTGAGAGTCAATGAAATGACCACTTTCTGACAGAGTTCGTATCATCTGGTCTAAATACAACACTGCAAAACAAACAAAAAATGTATGACTGCAAAGGAAACTGTTGAATTTAAATAATTATATCTTCATTGCACAACAACTGTTTCAAATAAACTTTTCATTGATGGTACATTATGCAAAGTGTCATGTATTTGATAATAAAATAAAATAATATGTTTTCAACAGTAGAGGATATTGAGGAAATACATTGAAGGATTTAATTCATATGAGTTAAGCATAGTGATTAAGATCAAGAAATCCAAAGTATTGTTAAAACCTACCAATTGCTTTTTCATAGAGTATAATAATTGATATCCAGTGGAGGTGGTGTAAAACAGCGAAGAAATTGGCGCCTAGTAGGGTAAGGCTATCGTTGGTCTGAAGCGGAACAATTAGTTGGTCACTGCCATGAGGCGGGATGCAGTCGTCTTGTCCCCGCTCGGTTGCCAAGCTAGACGAGAGTGCTGTCGGAAAGCTACTGGTTCTGTTGCCGAATGTTGAGAATTTTACACTCCCAAGGGCAAGTACTGGAATGTTATCCAAAATATGTCGCGGCAAACCATCAACATTCCCTAGGTCATCCGAAAGTAAGATAGAATCCATCTCACTTTTTCGGAATTCTTCAACTAAAAACGTCCGTAGATATGTGAACAAGTGTACATTGATTATATCCATAGACATGTATACAACAAGAGTATATGATTGATTATAGGTCATAATATTAAGATTGCGGTTGTGTCTGACTTTTAATTTGAAAGCGTTCGGTTTCTAAAAGGGACAACTTTCTTGTTTAGATCCGTATAAACTAACATGAATAATTCAACTGGTTACTTTTCACAGTTTTTAAATATTATATCCAGTCATATATTGATTTGAGGTTTTTTTGTATGCCTCGCTTTTGATATTGGTGTTGAGCTTTTTCCTGTTTTTAATACGACATTTCGGATTGTCCATGTTATGACATTTTAATGTGGCAACACCTTAGAGAGGTCCATGAGTGGACACTGTCTTCATATGACAAGGCTAATAAAAGCAGATAAAACATGTTAAAGAAAATTACAA